AGTTAATCTCATCTTATCTCATCTGCAGCGTAAATTGTCGGCCTGTTGAGATCCTAATAATCTTGAATTTGTCAAACGCTTCAGATCATATCACCAGCACCAATAAGTTGACTATAATTAGCAACTTAGTGACTTACCAACTGTATCATACCCAAATAAATATTGAACAAGATTAATAATATAAAACACTGAGCTAAGGCATAGTTTCCAACCTCTTCCAACCACCTAAACTCATAGCAAACATTCCATAAATAAAGATCGTTAGCAAAGAATGATTAGCATTATAGGCCCTGGAAAAAACAAATCTACAAGTACAATTCATTAAATGAAATGGGTCAAACCACAGTAACCATTAAAATGGACAAGTGAGCCAAAGCCTGTAATAACCAGGAAACGAAAGCGAAGGAAGCACTCTTACTAATGCAATAAACAAAATGCTACAAAATTGTACTTCTCAAAAATGCGTAGCCTTTGAGCAGAAAAACAAATTCAACAACTAATGAAGCCCCCATAATGACTTTTACAGCTCATTAACTTTGAGTATTCGCATAATTAAGTATCCATAGCCACCTCACAATCCCTGAGTACTTCCACACAAAGAAGAAGAGAAAGAATTGCCATTACCCACCAATAAACAATGTAATAAATCACAGAGCTAAGCGACTCTTCCTTTGGGGATCGTTAAAAAACAACCTTGCCAAGCAGGAACATCTCCAGGAACCATAAAAATGTATAATCTCTGCATAGTTGAACTTTGAGTAGAGACGAGGCTTTGGAGATTGGAGGAGGGGTCGGGAGTCCATCCATCCCTTCTCATTTCAACCCCTCACTTAAGCTTAGGCAGTATGAACCGGTCGGGCTTCTACCCCAACGCCAGACAAGCATCACTTCGGTCAACATTTGGCTCACTTTAGGGCGGTAGAGTCGAAAAGAATCACGATGACCAATCCTATAAAACTAGGAAGAAGTAAGCTATGCAGCTCAGAAAATAGTTAAGCTCACATTTTCATCGTTTTTAGTTACATAGCGGTTGGGTTTCGAGACCTTCAGATGATAGTGAATAAGAGCTGCATATGATGACAGTAAAAGTTTCCCACAATGAACTAAGTAGGCCTTCCAATAGTACTAAATTTCACATTGACTTGCCTCCAAATGTCCTTCCTATTCAAGTTCGACTGCTATTTCGACCTTGCCTAGGACACATAAGCCTTGCCAACACGCAGATGTGTCTCTCAAACTAAGCAAAGCCTCTCCCAATTAACAATTTTAGTGAAAATACGATCGCAAAATTGCGTATTTGCCATAAACAATGACGACGTTACTAGATAGATAGTTATAATATGTCCCGAGACAATCAGTATAACTTGCATAAGAAATTATGAAATATATAATATATCGTGAGCAAGGGCTAATAGTAGAATTTTTTAACAAGGAAATGAAATATTCATTACAAATTTTATAGACTCCTAGTATCTCTTGGATAAGATTTCTAAGCACCCTAGGTTGCAAAAGCTGATGATGGAAAGATAGCTGAAATTTCCTACAACCATATGAGCAAACATCAGGTTTTCATTAAATTTCCCTTAGTCTTGCTTACCAAAAGGTATTCTTATCTCGGCTGGACTTGACAGTAGCTTCGAGTTGGCCTAAGCCTCATCCGCACCCCAAGCAAATCGAACTCTTAGATAAGATTTATAAACCGTTTCGAAACCTACTTCTCATGAAGGAATAAGGTATAATGGAAAAGTACAAATTTGAGTGAAGGAAAGCTAGGATTCGAATAATCCCCTAATGGGATAGTGTGACTCAACTGATCATTTTAAATAAAAATGGTTTAATGAATTGGCCATATCGGAAACCGAAGGAGGATTACCACAGAGTGAAGACTGTTGGTTTGTGAGAAGAAGTCCTCGGCTCATCGTCATGCGACTCCGAAGAACCCATGTCAAGCTTTTGTCTGTTATGTAATCATGTTTGACGAGATAGCACAATTATGTACTAAACAAAGGGAATAATATATTGAAGTAGGTTGACCTCTGACCGGCCTCTATTCAGAAACCAAGTGAAACTTACAATATGAACAAGAATAAGCTGTTTAAGTTTATAGATAATAAGTCAAAGCTCCTGCGTGATCTAGCCAGGATCCTGACACCGGAAGACTTGCAAAAACTCCAGAACATGACCAACAGGAAATCACATAGGATCTCTGACTTAATGATAAAAACGACACGACAACAAATTGCATAAGTTTGGGATTATATGACAGCCATAATTAAAGCCAGTAGATCCAGTTGAAGTGGCAACACCTACTGATGAGCAGGACGATTGGAAGAAAGTAATGAATTTATCATCACTTTCTCTTGTTCCCGACACCACCACAATCCTGATGAAAGAACTCAACTTTTCATTCCAGAATGATAGAAGCCTTCCAGGAAACATCCTTTAGGAGGTTATCAGTATCTCCGAAAAGTTGCCTTAGGAGACAAAACGGGAAGTGAAGATGGAACTAATTCCCAAGATCTTGACACATCAACAACCAACCCACAGGAACAGATTTTCCACGATACGCAAGACACTGGAAGTGAATGAGCAATTAGTCCTTCAGGCGGATAAAGGTGAAGCGACGGTGATAATGGATGCAAAACAATATACGGAGGAGATGGAATATATTCTACGAGACAGGACTAAATATCGTAAACTGAAGAAGGACCCAACCATGAAAATCAATGGAAGCTTAAGTGACATGCTGAAAGATAAGCATAGGAATGGGGAAATTGACGCATGGACAATAAATTCAATCATAAGAAAGAATGCACGAAGATACTTAAAGAAGGCGAAATAATACAAACAAATATACGGGCCGTGAAAATCCGATGGCAGAACGGGGACTATGTAAAAACTTTAAGGACGATAAAGGATTCACGAAAGTGGATATGCCTACCTTCTTGCGAACTAACTCAAAAACTACGGCCAATGAAAGAGAAATCAGCACTTTTCACAAGTCTACCGACGCAACATGAAAGGGTAGATAAATTGGATTGTTCAAGAGTTTACTGTTTATCATGCGATGTCTGCGGATAGAAATATGTTGGCGAAACAGGGAGAAAAATTAGCACACGAAACAATGAACATAAGAGACTCTGCAGGAAAATGGGTACCGAAAGATCAGAACTAGCGGAACACATCACACAGACAAAACAAGGAAGCGGAAGATTATGGAGACCGTTGACATCGTTAAAAGAAAAATCTAATGAACAGGAGATTGGAGGAAGGTAGAGTTAGCGATAACTTTGTCTTCTGCTTAAACACACTCTGGGCGAGCAAGAATACAGCAAGACCAGCAAAAAGGAAACGCCTGGATCAAGGATCTATCGCAATCAGAGGAAAGAGGATCGCGATGAAGATAAAGGGGAAGAAATTTCGGCAATCCTGCAAAAACTTTGTCAGTGAGTGATGTCCGTTTCGAATAAACCAGTACAACTTTGGGGGCCTGGCGGTCAGGGAGCTGGGCGGACGGATAAGCAAACCGTCACAGAAATTTGCCGTTATGCCCAAAATGTACCAGAAATCCACTCGAGATGCCGCATGCGACCAGAGATAGGCGTCCACAGTTTGCTCAGTTTGGTAGATTTAGTCTATGTAAGAAGTAAGATAGAGCCGGATAGTGTTCTTGCTTTAGTGATAACGTGATACTTTTACAAGAATGACTAACAGCTCTGATGATGTCCATCATATGATGGACGAAAGCTCAGCACGTTTTCACCCGAACCGAAGGAGAAGGTACAACGAAATGCATCCGTCCTCATCTGATGAGAATTGGGCATATCAGAGCAAGAGAAAATATTGGAACGAAGAGTTTGCCAACCTCGGAGCCGAGGCGGAACTCAAGCTGACAGATGAAAAATTGTATGGTCATTTTCGCATGTACGCGGGCACGCACACCCAAACAACAATATGCATATTTTATGTACATGCAAACACATATACATCGTCGAAAGAGCCTATTCTCAAACGGAACATGCAACTGGCTGAACCCCTGCAGTATTCATTGGAAGCATGGAGCATAGATCTCACCAGAAGAAGACGGATTCCTTTTGACCAGCTGTCGAGTGGCCTTACTGGAACATTCTTGTTGACGCTATTTCCGACATAATCTCCTCCGATTCTGGTAAAAAAGTGCTAAGCCTACGTCCGTCATATGACGAACAGCATCAGCTCAAGGTATCACCATAACAACCAAATTACAGCTAACGAGTCAAGACAACTCTCCGGCTTATCCCAAAAAAGCTGTATATATACTCTATATCTGGCCTCTTTGATGATGTATAAAGTGATTTGGCTAGTTCCAGTTATATGTCATAAGAGACTGTCTGTCTGTGTATGTGTAGGCGCCAACATGTGTTAGCATATGTGAAAAACCAGCAATGATGGCTCATACACATACAGAGACAGACACACTCTGAAACTTCGAGATTGACATATGACTGGAATTAACCAAATCACTTTATTCCTCATCAAAGAGGTCAGATATAGAGTGTATATGCAGCTTTTTAGGGATGAGTTGGTGAGTTTTCTTGACTCGTTAACTTGAATTGGGTTGTAAGAATGATGATGTTCGTCATGCGTAGGACAAAAGCTTAGCACGTTTCCATCGCAATCGAAGGTGATTGCCTCGGAAACAGCGTCAACAAGAATGTTGTAATAAAGCCAATCGACAGATTGTCATGAGAAATCCGCCGTCATCTTCTGGTGGGGTCGAGTTTATAATCTCTTCACCGCACACTTTCACTCGAAATGGAGGCAAGCCTAAG